AATTTGAAGTATTTAAAATCTAGAGTTGAAGTTTGTAAGAAGTTTTAATTCTCTGGAATTAAATTCTTAGGATTTTAATGTTTTTTTTTAAACTTGTCTCTGTGTTATATTATTTGCTCATGTATTTCATTTCTTTTTAAAAGGTATGAACAAACCCAAAAGAAGAAGAAGAAGGGACTCATAAGCATTCTTCCTGGGATGGGGATTTTATTAGCCTTAGGGATGGAAATGCAGTCAAGAGCCACAGGCAGTGAGGGTGGTGGTAGTTAAAAACCATCCTCTCAGTGAGAATAGGTGTTCTAGACATTCTGTGCAGCAACATTTCTCTAGGGTATGGCCTAGGAGGATTAGCTGAGGCTGTTCGTCTCCTGCTGTAGAATGCAGAGATCTTGTTCTAGAGTTGGTTATAGACTTAGCACAGTGCAAATAAAAGCAAAACTGGGACTGTATGACAGGAGGCACATTTAAATACTTGCCTCTTATGCTGGTTGCCAGATTCCTCTGCAGCAGCAAGTAGTAATAAAAATGTTCTTTTACCAGTTGAAGAGTCAACCGCGTATGTAGGAAAATTGTCCTGGAAAAAAAGAAGAGGTTTTGCAAACTGTTTTTCATCTCAGTAAAACACAATTGAGCATTTCCCGAGTTTGTGTTTGGTTCTTTTGTTCTGTGGGTAACTTGAGAATGACAAATCTGATAGGTTTATGCCTTCTAACCATGAACCTAAACATTAAGTTCATGAATGAAAGGGAAAAATGGGAACATTTCCATAATTCATCTTCAGTCTTCAATCTACCAGAAATCCAAGTATATAAATATAAAGGGCACTTTAAAAAGTTTATGGAAAAATGAAATTCAAAGATAAGATTAATCTGATGCAAATTTTTAAAATGTATGCATAACATAGTATGTTTCTTTAGTGAGCAATATTAATTATTCTATATGAGTATTTGAAGTTTACACAGCTTACATCATCATTTTTATTCCACTTTTAACATGTAAATTGTCTTAATGGTTAAAGTATGAGTATTTCTATGTGTAAAATTTCTTTGCCTACTTTGGGAAAATACAAATACGCATGGCTTTCAAAATTTGTAGCAAAATAAACGTATCTTTTAATTCTCTTATCCATGGATGCTTTGAAGTTTCCTCTTAAGTGTTTGTCATGAATTTATCCTTTACTAAATTTGGTCACAGGTGATCCAGGAATCCAATTGGATTATCTGAAATTTTTAGGTAAAACAAAGGATATTAATCTATGGTAATAAACATCAAGAAGTGGTTGGCTATCCACCACCAGACATCATTTTTAAGATTGCCAGTAATGTTAAGAAATAAAAATCTTGTAATTTTTCCATAGCATTCATTTTATATGAGCTGTTTGAAGAATCTCTATTAGATATCAATATGCTGTCATAAATACTGTCTTGGGATTAATCAAACAATAATACAGCCTAAGAGATTTTTTTTATTTGAAAAAGACAGTTACAGAGAGAGGTAGAGCCAAAGAGAGAGAGCTCTTCCATCTGCTGGTTCACTCCCCAAATGACTGCAAGGGCCAGAGCTGAGCTGATCCAAAGCCAAGAGCCAGAGGTTTTTTCTGGGTCTCCCACAGGGGTGCAGGGGCCCAAGGACTTCTACTGCTTTCCCAGGCCATAGCAGAGAGCTGGATCAGAAGTGGAGCAGCCAGGACTCGAACTGATGTCCATATGGGATGCCGGCACCATATGCCAGGCCTTCAACCCCCTGCGCTATTTCTTTAATTAGGAGCCCAAGTCCTCTGATAAAGTATATATATATATATATATATATATATATATATATTATTTGACAGGTAGAGATATACATAGTGAGAGAGACAGAGAGAAAGGTCTTCCTTCCATTGGTTCACCCCCCAAATGGTTGCTATGGCCAGCGCTGCGCTGATCTGGAGCCTCTTCCTGGTCTCCTATGCAGGTGCAGGGCCCAAGCACCTGAGCCATCCTCCTCTGCTCTCCCGGGCCACAGTAGAGAGCTGGACTGGAAGAGGAGCAACAAGGATTAGAACCCGGTGCCCATATGGGATGCCGGCGCCTCAGGCGGAGGATTAACCAAGTGAGCCACAGCGCTGGCCCCGATAAAGCATATTGCAGACTTCCTACTAAATCTACATCTGCTCCCCTGCTCTGGTGGAACCTACCATGGTGGTACATGTATAGCAGATGGGACTCAGTTCAACAGAACAGAGGAATATGCAGTATTTATATTTATTGAACATCTCCTAAATGCAAGTAATTTAAATATGTTGCTTCAATTTCTCACAAGACTGTGATTATAATACTGATTTTACGGAAGAGGACAATTATTTTTCATTTGATTCCAGCCAAAGGTAAAATAGAGAATAGCCTTGTCTATAAAAACAATCATATAATCTGCTGTTTCCCCAGCTCCTGATGTCATTTTATGGCAAGTAGCTTGCACAAAGGTCACCTTCAGGCAAAGAGCTTTTTTTCAAAAGGCACTTTTTCCTCATCCAGGTAAACCTTGGAGACTAGAAGAAATCTAGATTCTGCTAATCTTCTGAGTGTGGAAAATAAAGCAACAACCCAAAGAACTGAGCCATTCAATTTGTCTTCCAAATCAACTTCTGCTTGCTGAGGCTTGAAAGGAACTTTGCTTATTTTTTCACATCATTGAATGAAGCTGTTTGGTAAGATGTGTTTATTAGACTTACATAAGAGCTCCTGCCCAAGGAATTCAAACCCCAGTGCCGGGGAACAATCTTTACGATCTCTGGCTCTACCATTTTAACAGCATAGCGAAAGGGCTTATCAACATGTCTAATTTTTAATTCTACAGAGAAGGCAGCAGAATGAAAACAGGATTTTCAAATCAGGTAGCCATTTCTTTTTTCAAATCACCGTTCTGTCTATGTCAAAGTTGATTTTCAGAAAGACCCCTATTCTGATACAAATAAGTAGTGAGCATGAATCAAATATGCATTAACTCATTAATGAGGGAACTAGCAAGGTGGTAAAGCTGAATCAAAGACAATTTGAAAGTTAGTGCATATAGGCGCTGGAAGAACACTGCAAAAAAATTACAAATTAGATGCAATACTGGCTAATGCATTACAAGTTAGAATATGGAAACCTTTGTTGGACGTCATTTTTTTTTTTCTGCCCAAATTATTTACATCCTTGTCAGACAAAAATGCTATGGGTTAATATAAGCAACTTGAAGATTGGACCCGAGTGGGCATTTGGCCTCGTGATTAAGAATGCTGGTGAAGATCTCCATGTCCCAGATCGGAGTGTCTGGATTTGATACCAGACTCTGGTTTTTGATTTCAGCTTCCTGCTATTGTAGACCCTGGGAGGCAGGTGCTGATGGCTCTACCCACATGGGAGACATGGCTTGTATTCCCCATTCCATTCATTAGTACTGGCCTGCCCCAAGAACCTTGCAGGCATCTGGGAGAATGAACTAGTAAATGGGAGCTCTCTCTCTCTCTTTTTCTTTAAAAAAAAAAAAGATTCTGCCCCTATCAGTAGAAAATAGCAATTCAAAAATAGGAGGACAAACCTTTTCTGTAAAGAGCTAGATAGTAGAGATCTAAGGCTTTGTCAGTCATATGGTTTCTGTGGCAACCACTCAACTCTCCCCTTGTAGCACAAAGCAACCATATATAATACAGCCAAGAATGACTACAAGTGTGTTCCAATAAAGTTTTATTTACAAAACATGCTGGGACCAGCTTTGGTTGATGTTCTATAGCTTGCCAATCCCTGCCTTAGATAATTAAATAATCCTGGGTGGGCCTGTTAGATCATTGGGTCTTCTAAAGGACACAATAGCTGTTTTCAATATCCTCCTTTGGAATATTTTTTTCTTAGACCATGTATAGTCCATAAGACATTATCCAAGATACTCATATCTCCTCACTTTTTATTTCCTCAATTGCTGAATTGGAAGAGTTTTTGAAATTCTTAAGTTATTATATGCATACCATGGCTTAGTACTCAAAATATATTTATTCCTTACATCTTAATTTCATTCTTATTCTCAGTCAAAAATGTAGAAGATGATCTCACACTATCTCACAAAATCTGTTCATGAAAATAAGGGTCCCTACTTAAGCTGGAAGAAGAGACCAGCTGGTTTAACAGGAGGCTCAGGGAATAAAGAGCAACTGACTCACTTTTTTTTCTCTTAACCTCACACAAATCCTGCCTGTGATGTTCAATTTGGTGTGTGTGGGGGGGGGGGGGGCTTTTTTGGTGCAGACAAGACAAACATGCAGTCAGCAATGGCTTTGTCTTATCTTCCAAATATGACTAAATGTATAAGTACAGCTTTGAACACTGAAGAAGCTCAGTGATTCCAACAGGTCACCAAGTCCACCAGTCCTCTTTATTTCCACAACTCTTTGTGCAGGACAATAGTTCCACCAGAAAAGCAATGCCCTACATGGAGTTCTTTGGAATCAGACTGAAACCTGGAAAACCGTGCATAGAAGGATTAGTACAAGGTGCTGTTGGGAGATACACCTGGAGGGAAGGAAGGAAGGAGCACTGGGCAGAGGGAAGCTGACTCTCCAGCCATTACAAGAGAGGGCTCAGCTGACTCCGTCGGGGCAGTCTGGGGCTAGAACGGCCTTCTGACTCATCCCATTTGCGACAACAGGGCCAGGCCCCTGTGCCCCTGCGTTAGTCATTCGTGGTCGTGAACACCCCTAAGAGAGGATGTAATCTTGGGAGAGGCAGTTCCTATCTGCTAAGGGAAATTCCAGTGAGGAAGGAAGCTGTGAGCCATCCGTCTCCATTGTTCCCAGCACCTGGGGAATGGGTGCTTTTCGTTTCTGAGGAGGATCCAATCTATCTGGTCAGTGTGAACAGGGTTTCACATTTGCTGTACTGTGATTCAACCAGGAAGCTAAAAAGAGAATACACTTATCTTCAACAATTACTGATGTTGATTACTGCTTTATCTGATCATGCTCATGCCAGGGTCTATTATCTGAGTCTTAGTGGCATAAAACAATAAATAGTTATTATCGCACAGCTTCCATTAGTCAGCAATCCAGACACAGCTTAATCTGAGTGCTTGTGATTCAGGATCTTCCGTGATACTTCAGTCAATGTTTTGACCAGGGCTGTTGCAGAATCCACTGGAGGATTATCTACTTATAGGCACTTACATGAATACTGGGAAGAGGCCTCAGTGCCTCATTGGCTACTGTTGGTGGAAGCAGTTGCTTGCTACATGAATCTATCCATTGCTATGTGGATATATCCACTTTGCTATCCCCAGAGCTTGGATCTGAGGGGCAGAAGAAGGGAGAATGGGGAAGAGAGGGAGAAATCAAAACAGAAGCCAGAGAATTTTTATAGCCTAAACACATGAGTGATATCTTATTACTTCTGCTGTATTCTACACATCTGAACTGAGCTAATAAGTCTAGCTCATACTCTACGTGACAAAGATTTGATGCCAGTAGTTGAGGATCTCACATGCTGCCCTCTTCATAGGGAATTAAAAATATTTTAAAGGGACTTTTGACTATCTCAAAACACAATTACTCAAATATACCTATAGGAATTTAATGAAAACCCCTGTCAAACATACTGGACTAATATTAGAATTATATCCAACTTGTAGGCATTCACTGACTTAAAAACAGATGGTCACTCATCTGAGATTAGCACAGGAACTGAAATCAAGTGTTGAGAAATTTGACATTGCTTGACATGTGTGGGGAGCAACCGAGACTAGGCTAAATTACTGGAACTGCTAAGACTAATTCTATGCATCTGATCTCCCACCATATGGCGCTGAGAGGGAATAAACCACTTCCACACGGTTGCCTCACCAATTCGACTAACAAGCTGCAGGAGCTGATCCTGCCCCTGATTGGAGGAGAGCAGCGTGCTCAGCCTGTGGGGAGAGAACACCAGCAGAGTTGGGATTGGTGGAAGAGGACTATAAAGGAGGAGAGAGACAACATGCAAGAGGAACATCTGAGCAACCCCTGAGAAACCCCTGAGAGAGCCGGCTGGCGGTGTGCTGCCCCTCCACGGAGGCGGGGGGCGGGGGCAGCGAACCCGGGAAGGGCCGGGGAAAGAGAACAGCCCAGGGCCCGGTGTTGTTCCTCTGCGAGTGGGGGAGCGACAGACATGTAAGTGTTTGATCAATGGATTTATATAGGCATAGAACACAAATATTGATCCATAAGGGATTTAGGAGGAAAATTTCCCTTTACCACAGAATCTGAGAAGCTCTGTTAGGATGATTTAACCCTCTTGCCAGATATGTCACTCCTGATCAGAGAAGTAGGCTTAGAATATCAAAGAGAACTAGACTTCTGTCTGATATTTCCTAACAAGATTTGGAAGTCATCTAACTCACTTGGATTTGATTCTCAGTCTGCAAGGTAGTACATGAGTTAGAAGGTTCAATTGCAGCTGGCATTTAGCCAAGCAGTTGAGACACTAGTTAAGCTGTCCACATCCCACCTGGGTCTTATATCTGACTCCAGCTCCTGAATACAGCTTCCTATTATTGCTGACCCTGGAGTGAAGGTCTCCTACACTGAACATCTGGACTAGGTTCTCTGCTCTAGGCTTCAGCCTGATCCAGTCACAGCTGTTGTAGGCATCTGAGGAATGAACCAGCAGATGGGAGCATTTCTCTTTCTCTCTATCTGCCTCTCCTCTCTCTCTCTCTCTCTCTCTCTCTCTCTCTCTCTGTAACTCTGACTTTCAAATAAAAATAAATAAATCTTTTAAAAAAAGAATCTCATTCTATTATTAAATAGCCTAACGTATTGGTAAATTTTTTTCCTTTTATTTCTGCCCCTAGAGTCCATGCGAGTTCATATACTTCTATGAAGTCTCTCTCCCTTGTCTCAGCCCCTTAAATGGCTCTGGAAACAATTCAGTAGAGTCTATACTGAACAACAGAGCCGATAGAATCAGTGATCTTTACAACAATAACATTAATAGCTCTTTTCTTTTCTCTCAGAAACAGTTTTAAGGAAAGGACTATATCCTTTAAAATACTTCATTTAAAAATATTTCTACATTTTGTAATGCTTCATAAATTTTTAAATTAGCTGTCTTAGGAAACTTCAGAATTGATTAAATTATATTTGGTGGTGGTACAAGGGCTCGTTTTTCATTTTGCTCCTATCCTTCCCTCTCACAGGAAATGAAGATTCCTCTGGGAAGTACAATGAACTAATCTGGTACTGTACGCTGTAGGTTTCATATAAAATACTGTCATTTGCATTTGATCCAAGTAAGTTTGCAGAATTCCCTATTGTTTCTGTGCTATTGACTTTATAGTATATAAAATATAGTACATTTCCTAAACATGTCCTAGCAAAGATTCCCAAATAGTTGATACAAATAATATGCTCTGGTTCAGTGTACTTAGATGTACACTTTTAAGCTTAGCACAGATTCGTTCATAGTAAGTACCAGTAGCATAATCTTGGGAAGTTTTAAAGTAATAATTATAACAATTGCTTTGACCATCCATTGATAACTTAGTAGATACCTAGTTCCGGCCAGGAACTTCCTGTCTATGATTTAATCCTGAAAAATAAATTAATATCTCTGAAGTGGGTACTGATATCCTCATTTTGCAGAGAAGGGACTTGAGGCTTTAAAAGATAAATTAATTTGGCCAAGATGAGGTAATTAACTAATTGCTGGAGATAATATTTTAATCCCATCATGGCTGACTCTAGGAAGGAGTCCTATTTTGAGCTTTAGCTATGCCCACCCTGGAGTTCAGGCCTGCTGGTCAAGTCTGCAGGAGCATCCAGAGACGACCCAAGAAGTTTGGTGCAAGAACAGGAGGCCGGTGTCAGGTGTCAGGATTTTAGACAACTACCTGTCAAAACATGAACTCTCATCCATTCTCTTAAAACCTGTGTAACAATATTATGCAAAAGTTATCATTTGCCCAAGGCATTGAGAACATGCAGGAGTCTGTGCAACAAACTAGTAGAGTACTTTCTCTATGTGAGATACAATTAAAGCATTAAAGCATGCCACTGATTTAACTTTGAGATGAGCTCAGGGAGAACAGCATGTGGGGAAGAGAAGGAATCAGAGAAACTTCAGCACATCAGCATGCTGGCCTTGATGGGCTGTGAGCTGGAATCTCAAGGAAACAGGGAGCAATAATGCAGATTATTATGCAGCAGCAGAAAATATTAGCCTCTACTCGCTGCTGTCAATGTTTGTGAAATTCCTTCTGAAGACCCCCAGAAATATTTGTGTGGAACTTGGAGAAGTTGGTAAAAGTTAAATAAGTGTACATTTTGTTAATATCTAGAATCTTACTCATAGAATAATGGATTCCATGTATATTAATGCCTTCTGAGTTTGTATTAGATTTTATTTTTATAAACTATATTTTGGTTCTCATTGAATAACATTGGCTGCATTAGTCATGCAAGACTTTACTTGTATGATTAGACATGAAGTTGGTTATGGCTGTTTCAACTTAATAGAAATGATTACCTGACCTCTGAGGTAGACATTTACATTGGCATCTCTTAAATAAACGCAGTTGATTTTAGTCAGTTGTTCCAGTTTGTGAAGGGCGTTTTGACTCATTAGTCTATCAGAAAATATCTCAGCTTTCTTTCTTGGCTTTTCTAATTTACAAATATGATGGATACACTCATTAAACTTTATATTCTTTATTGATATAAAGAATAAAGCCTCAGCTTGAAGCCAAATCTAGTCAAGCCCAGACAACATCAGCTAAACTCCAACCACCCATAGATTAGTGAGCAAGAAAAATAAATATTTTTCTCACACATAGACAAATTTCAATAGCAAAGATCAATGTCAGAGACCTGTCACAGCCTTAGGAAGTTTCACTCTGTTGTCCTTGAGTCGCTTACCAGTAAACTGTGATTGTTCAACCCATAGTTCGTGTAACTGTAGTATCACCTGACTCAGATTTCGCTAAATCTCTCATAAGTATATTGTGCATAGCTTTTTCAAATGCTTTGCAGAAACTGAGGTGCATTGTCTTTAGACAGAGAGGTATTTTCTCTAATAACTTCATTTTCATTTGTTTGAAATGACTCATTTTTCAGCCCAATTTCAATAGTAGCATGCATAGAGTTTATAGTTCCAATTTCAAAATAAAATATTGAATTTTTCTTTGGTAGCATGCATACAGTTTTTATGGAAGACACACATCACACATTAGAAATAGTGGGGGTAACACACTTAAGGAATTTTCAGTCTAAACGAGAAGTTGGCAAGGCATGGAAAAGAAAGAAATCCCATAATTTCCGGCAAAATGGATGGAACTAGAGAACATCATGTTGAGGAAAGAAAGACAAATACAGAGGAAGACAAATACTGCATCACGTAATTCTGATTTATAAAGGCCGGGAGAAGTGAGGGGTCAGATGGAGTTTGGACAACATCTACCTAATCAAATTTAGATTAAAGGAATAAATTTCTAGTGTACACAGCACAGTGGGGTGACTACAGTTTACAACAACCTAGTAGATAGTATATGAACAAAGCTTCCAATCATAAAGGAATGTCAAAAAAAGGGAAAATGTTAATTATCCTGTTTTGATCACTGCACATTACAAATGTGTTGAAATATCACACTATAATTCATAAATATGCATAAATATTATTAATTACATTTTTAACGATAAATCAGCAAGGGCAAAAATGCATAGAACATCAGACTGAAGGCCTTAGACCCTGTGCTTTGAAAGTTAAGATTATAAATGGACTCTTTTCTGCATAAATCGTCAGAGGCAGATTTCTCAGAGCTATAGCTAAACTATGTGTGTTAGTTTGAGTTCCTTCAGAAGTAGCCTCTGAATAAAGGACTCAGTTTTAAGTAGTTTATGTGAGAGGTGTAGGAAGCCAGAAGAGCAGTAGAGAAGTGAGATGGGGGAAGAATGAATCACCAAGGATAGATATTAAGAAGATGGGCAACTTATATCCGTCTGGAAAGCCCCATGAAGCAGCGTTTAGAAAGCATGTAAGACTGATTCTCTCCAAAGGATGAGGAAACTGAAGTTTTTATTCATTATTCTTGACATTCATAGGTTGAGGTTTCTCCTGGGGAACATATTTTAATCCTGTGGCACTTTCTGCCTGCCTGTGCAATGTCAGAATCAGCTTTGTTGGACAGAGAAAGCTCTCTGGCAAAGAGCGGCAAGAGCTGACAGATGTTGAGCCAGTGAGTGCGCAGTGGAGAGAATACAGCAGACCTCTACACACAGTGTGTGAGATTAGGTGCATGTCTGTGTGTGTATGCACACACAAATGAAGACATACAAGGAGGGAGAACACCTTCCAAGCTGGGAGAATGACAATTTATCAAGAGCAAAGAGTACATGAAGAAATCCAAGAGAAATTAGGTGTCAAGGATGCATTAAAATCTACAGTTCTAGTTAGTGAAATTAATCTTACAGTTCCCTATTCTTACAATGGGAATGGGTATTACAGACCTCGTGGAAGTAAAATGCTGGCTGTTTCTAATTAAAATGAAACCACGAAGTTAGAACTGATGAATCATGCCAGATTTTCTCATCTATACCATAATCCTTTCTAGAATTCTGTCAAGGTGGCAAGTGAACAATGCTAAGCTCATTGGCAGATATTTTGTTTTTTCTTGAACTCATCTGGAAAGACAAAAGTATGCCAGGTAGATAAGGCAACCTCATATCCACTTAAATATGGATTTTTAATGCCCTGTGGAACTCACACCTGCTTTCACTTAAGCCCCAGTCTAGTGTTAAAAATATAGAGCCTAGATCCAGCAAGCCATTTGCTATTTCATAACAATTGACAAGCATGACCCTCCTAAGACACTAAATCAGGGTTATAAGTTCTTTCCTGGAAAATACAAATTTTATTTTCTTAGCAAGTGAAACTCCATATGAGGGTACCTTTACATGAGGAAAAATGAAATTAAAAGATAAGTTTATTTTGGGGCAAAAGTTTTGAAATCCATGCCTACCTATTTTACTAATACTCATTTTCTATAAATCCTTGAAGACTCTTGCATAGATTTCAAGTAGTTTCTACCAAAACAAGCCTATCTTTTAATTCAGTTTTCCATGAACCTTTGTCATACCCTCATATATTTCTGTAGGTACTTCCAAAAGATTTTTCAAAACTAGATTGCCTGCAGATGAGAGCCAGGATTTATAATCTCTTGATAAAACATAGATTTTAATTACATGAATGTTACTCTTGCAGGACTTTCATATTAAGCTTTTGGTTTAAAACGATGCAAAATGCATAGAAAATTGAGTGGTTCTTTGAGAGAATTGGATGTTGGAATGCAAGAAGATCAGAGTGCTGCTGGGATTCAGGGAGATGTTCAGTGGGAACGGATAAAAGTGATAATTCACCTACTGGCAATTTTAGAAGGTCTGCCATCATCTTTAGAAAAGAATATGATTTCTCTCATCCACAGGATGACACTGATAGAGTTGATTCTTCTCGCAGAAGCCATGTTTTCTCCTTCTACACACTACATTCAACTTGTCCTTGGCTCTTCTGAGATAACTCATCCCCGACATCATCTCTCCTCAAAGGGATTTCCAGCTCACCCAATATGGGCAGTAGGCTGGTTTTTCTTTTCTTCTTTTTATGTTTGATGGCTCAGATGGAGATCTCATTTTGTTACAATGTCAAGCCCATCAAGGTAACCCTTTTAGCAGCTACCTATATTCTATTTTAATGAAGAATTCTGGCCTTAAAATAGGTTTTTCCTTTTAAAATAAAATAAAGGGATTATATAATATTAAATATATATTTAAAATATATTTATTTAAATATATTAAATATTTATAAGTAAATATGTTTATATTAAATTCAAAATATGGCATATTATTCTAGGATTATTATCTCTGTTGTTTTAACATTTGTAAGCATACTCAGCTTATGAAATTATTGTGTGTTAATTATGAGATGATTGGTCAAGGTATACTCACAAGCCCCAAATCTCAGAGACTTTACATGAAGTTGATCTCTTACACAGAGTCTGTTGCTGTTCTAGTGGCTTTTTCAGGAATCCCCTTTCCATGTGGTGATTTCAGATTTTCTACTACTTGCTTATACATTGTGGCAATGGCATCTGAAACATGTGCCTCTCCAGGGTCACCATGAAGAGAGCTGGGAAATACACTAGAGAGTTCTGCCTCAGTCCTCAAGTAACGTACATCCCAGACTCAATAGTCACATGGCCAAGCACAAGTCACATGGCCTTCTGCAAATGTAAACAGATTGGGTAATGTAATTTAACTATGTCCAGGAAGGCAAAACCAAGATACAAGGTAGTTTTTGCCAAAAATCTCTGTAAAAGACAATGAAGACAATGATGATAATTGGTGAATATTTTTTCTTACTGCAAAAAGTTGAAACTCTCTGTGAGCATTCCACATATTTGGGGAAAATTTATTGATGAAATTTAGGAACTATTGCACTAACTCGTTCTATGAAACCTGAACGTCATAGCCTAGAATTCCTGGTTCTTTATGCGCTAACCCTGCCAACATCTCCAAGCTTATCTGTTGATAACCTTGACATGAGTCATACCTTTCTGTTTATTTCATTGCAGTTCATGACCATGTGTCCTTTTGCCTGAAATTGTTTAAGCCTTGCCCTAAGTTTTTAAAGACTCTTACTTAGCATCACTCAATTGGTAGTGCACTCTTCAATACCTCCAAAAGCAATCCATGCACCACTTCCAACCATTTTTTGCAGACATTCGTGAATCCTCCAGTTGACCATGTGTTCTTTTGAGTAGAGAAATCTTTTTCTTCTCCTTAATTCTAGAATTCTGGTAAGGAGGACCTACGTACTTAGTAAACACAGAAAGAAAGATTGGTTCCATTGATTAAAACTCTCTTTGTTCCTATTTTTTTTAACTTTTTATTTAATGAATATAAATTTCCGAAGTATAGCTTATGGATTACAATGGCTTCCCCCCCACCACAACTTCCTTCCCACCCGCAACCCTCCCCTTTCTCTCTCCCTCCCCCCTTCCATTCACATCAAGATTCATTTTCAATTCTCTTTATATACAGAAGATCAGTTTAGCATATATTAAGTAAAGATTTCAACAGTTTGCACCCACATGGAAACATAAAGTGAAAAATACTGTTTGAGTACTAGTTATAGCATTAAATCACAATGTACAGCACATTAAAGACAGAGATCCTACATGAGGAGTAACTGCACAGTGACTCCTGTTGTTGACTTAACAAATTGACACTCTTGTTTATGGCATCAGTAATCACCCTAGGCTCTTGTCATGAGTTGCCAAGGCTATGGAAGCCTTTTGAGTTCACTGACTCTGATCATATTTAGACAAGGTCATAGTCGAAGTGGAAGTTCTCTCCTCCCTTCAGAGAAAGGTACCTCCTTCTTTGATGACCTGTTCTTTCCACTGGGATCTCACTCACGGAGATCTTGCATTTAGTTTTTTTTTTTTTTTTTTTTTTTTTTTGCCAGAGTGTTTTGGCTTTCCATGCCTGTAATACTCTCATGGGCTTTTCAGCCAGATCCACGTGCCTTAAGGGCTAATTCTGAGGCCAGAGTGCTGTTTAGGACATCTGCCATTCTATGGGCAAATTCTAAAGGGGCAAATACCATATGTTCTCCCTGATCGGTGACAACTAACTGAGCACCAAAAAGGAAACCTGTTAAAGTGAAATGAACACTATGAGAAATGGCGACTTGATCAGCCCTTGCCCTGACTGTTGATGAACTACTTAATACATTATCCCTCTTAGTATTTTTTTGTTTATTTGTTCTTATTACTTTTGGTTGAATACTGTAATCAATACATAGTTATTCTTAAATGTTGAAACTAACTGAAAAGTGATCGCTGTTAAATATAAGAGTGGGAATAAGAGAGGGAACAGATGTGCAATTCGGGACATGCTCAAGCTGACTTACCTCAAATGGTAGAGTTAGAAACATACCAGGGGATTCCAATTCAATCCCATCAAGGTGGCATGTACCAATGCCATCTCACTAGTCCAGGTGATTAATTTCTGTTCACAATTGATCATAATGATAGGACTAAGAGCCAAAGGGAGCACATAAACAAGACTAGTGTCTGCAGATACTAGCTGATAGAATAAAAAGGGAGAGAATGATCCAACATGGGAAGCGAGATACACAGCTGACCCATAGAATGGCAGATGTCCTAAACAGCACTCTGGCCTCAGAATCAGCCCTTAAGGCATGCAGATCTTTGTTCCTATTTTAAATTAGATTTTTGAAAGGATCTCAAAGAAGGGTTTAACCTTACTAAGGCTACTGCTCTTTGGCTTGAGTAATCTTTAGAAATCTTTGATACACAGCTTTTATCTTAGTACCTCTTCACTACTGTTGTAACCCATTTGATTGCTAAAGCTCAGCCACTTAGCATGAAGCCATACTTCTCTCACTGCAAAAGGATTTAGGAGAATAGTCCAATTTGCTCTTGATGGTCGTGTTTGTGCTTATCCTATGGTGTTTCACTGGAAAGGCTAATGGGGTTCTTATTTTGTCTAAACATAAAAAGCAATGGTTTTGGCATGATCAAGTAGCAGTTTTCAGCTTACTGTCTATGCAGTGAGAAGACAAGCTACATGAGGCTAAGAACCATGCTTGTGACATTTTACAAATGTTCACCAAGAATAATCACAGAGATGGAGGAGAGTGAAGAGCAATTGAAGTGTGGGGCTTTTTCTTGTAGCAGTTAAGAACCCTGTGTCCCATATTGAGTACCCATGTTTGATTCCTAGTTCCAGCTCCTGACTTCAGTTGTTTACTAATGCAGTTCCTGGGAGGCAGTGGTGAGGGCTTCAGTAATTGGTTTCTGCAACCCACATAGCAAACTTAGATGGGCTTGGGCATTGGCCTGTCCCCAGGTGTTGCAGGCATATGGGAAATGATCGATAGATGGCCTTCCCTCCTCTCCTCTCCCCTCCCCTCCTCTCCCCTCCCCTCCCCTCCCCTTACTCTCTCTCCCTCTCAAATTAATTTTTTTTGAAAAATGAAAGTGAGAAGGAAAACTCCTTTGAGAAACATTCATAGAACTCCATTCACCTATATTGCATACCTACTCCCTGCTAAACTACAACATGAACACTGTGGGATCTTCCCTCTCTGAACTCACAATCAAAGAAAGAGCTGTAGACACAAACAATAGGCACAGAGCAGCTTAATGAATGAAGCTAGAAAACAAATGGCCCTCTAAGGAATGTGTGAACACACACAAAATCACTGACTCACCCTATCATGTTCTATAACAGTTACTGGAAAGTTTCTTTTCAAGACAATTTCGATAATGTCAAGTACCAAGCAAGACAACTTGAGATTTTTGGCATGATTTGTATTATTGGTTTCTTGGGCCTGGGACAGAATTGAAAAAGCAATGTCTATAAACAGAATGAATAATACATAACCATAATATGTTCTCTGTTTATTTTTACATCAGATGTTTGGAATGTTGGCAGTATTAAGGAACTCATTTAATTTTGATTCCCTTTTGAACCTGTAATGTTATAATACAAACCCCCTAAATGAATCATATTCCTAGTGTTAAAAATTGGATGCTGGTGCCATAAACATATCAAGGTTGTGTTTTTGACAAGTGCCTTTTAATTAACAGAATCTTTGAAGCTTGTTGGCAATTGTTTTGTTCTGTGAAAAGTCCGATAATGATAATACTGGAAATGTAACCATTTGAAACTGGCCACCTAGAGTAGTTCTTAAAGCTTTTCATCTTCAGATTGATTTGCACATCTCAAACAATTATGGAGGTTGGAAGATATTATTATACCCATTTTGCAGATGAGGAAATTGAAACTGGGAGCCTTGGAGACTTGCCTAAGCAGGTGAAAATGACTCCTACACCAAAGACTCTTGAAGACACCCCCACTCACTAGTAATTTTAGTGGTTCATTTCCCTTAACATAGACTTTCTTAACTTTGGCACTATTGACTAATTGAAATAAGATAATTCTTTTGTTGTGAGGGTCTTTCCTGTGCATTGTAGGACATTTAGTAACATCCTTGGTCTCTACCCACCAGGTGACTGCATCCTTTTTTTAATTTAATAAATGTAAATTTACAAAGTACAACTTTTGCATTGTTGTGGCTTTTTCCCCTATAACCTCCTTCCCACCCACAGCCATCCCATCTCCCACTCCCTCTCCCATCCCACTCTTCATCAAGATTCATTTTCAATTATCTTTATATACAGAAGATCAACTTAGTATATACTAAGCAAAGATTTCAACAGGCTGTACCCACACAACCACACAAGATATATAGAGTACTGTTCTGCTAGTAGTTTTACCATTAATTCTCATAGTAAAACACATTAAGGACAGAGATCCTACGTGGGGAGCAGGTGCACAGTGACTCCCGTTGTTGATTTAAAATTGACACTCTTGTTTATGACGTCAGTAACCACCCGAGGCTCTTGTCATGAGCTGTCAAGGCTATGGAAGCCTCTTGAGTTCACCAACTCTGAACTTATTTAGTCAAGGCCATATCACAGTGGAAGTTCCTTCCTCCCTTCAGAGAAAGGTGCCTCCTTCTTTGATGGCCCGTTCTTTCTGCTGGGATCTCATTCACCGAGATCTTTCATTCAGGTTGTTTTTGCCACAGTGTCTTGGCTTTCCATGCCTGCGAGACTCTCATGGGCCTTATAGCCAGATCCTAATTACCCAAGGGTTGATCCTGAGGCTGCAGTGCAGTTTAGGGCATTTGCCATTCTATGAGTCTGCTGTGTATCCTGCTTGCCCCGCAGGATCATTCTCTCCCTTTTAATTCTATCCTTCATTATTTGCAGACACTGGTCTTAATTGTAAAATCTCTTTGACACTTACCCTATCTTTTTGATCAATTAAGTACTTAAACTGATCACTTTAACAAGTGAGATGACATTGGTACACGCCTCCTTGATAAGATTGAATTGGGATCCCCTGGCACATTTCTAACTCTACCATTGGAGGTAAGTCTGAGTGAGCATGTGTCAAACTGTACATCTCCTCCCTCTCTTATTCCCACTCTTATATTTAACAGAGATCACTTTTCAGTTAATTTTAAATGCCTAAGAATAATTGTGTATTAATTACGGAGTTCAGCCAATGGTATTAACTAGAACAAAAAACCAAAAAAATACTAAAAGGAATAAAATAGTAAGTTGTTCCTCAGCAGTCAGGACAAGGGCTGATCAAGTCACCAATTCTCATAGTGTCCATTTCACTTCAACAGGTTTCCTTTTTGGTGCTCAGTTGTCATAAATCAGGGAGAACATATGATATTTGTCCCTTTTGGACGGCTTATTTCACTCAGCATGATATTTTCCAGATTTCTCCATTTTGTTGCAAATGACCAGATTTCATTGTTTTTACTTCTGTATAATATTCTATAGAGTACATATCCCATAATTTCTTTATCCAGTGACTGCATCCTTAACAACTAAAAATGTCTCCAGACATTGCCCAATAGCACCTGAAGGACAAAGGCACCCCCGGTTGAGAACCACTGCCATAAAAGAATTAGGCTCCATGGCAAATGGATTCTGCTCTTGATGTGGCTTACTCTGTACTGACTCCATGCTAACAGGGAGCTCAGTTTCTTTGGCAAATTGTGACATGATAAAGTGAATTTGCCTTTCACGATAGTCTGATGACAGGATCAACTAGAAGTTTCCATTTTAGTGATTGTACAATGAGAGGACAGCTGTATGAAGACAGGGGCAGTATCTGTTTCCCTCGATAAATTTTTGTTCAGTGAACAAAAAGTGGGTGGCTGATGCCATACATAGACCTAACACAGTACAAAC